AGGGATCACAGAGCCCTGAACTTTTCCATTTTTCATGTCCTGGGAGATGCGATTCACGGGATTCCCTCAGGTGCTGAGCTCTGCTCGGTCTAACTGAGGCTGTGCTGTCTCGGGCTGGCTCTCCCACCCCTCCCCTGGGCGGGCAGACCTCGGCATCACCCCAGACCCTCTCTCCTGCCCCTCTACATCCGGTCCCCCGCTGCCAGGTCCTGTCCACATGGCCTTGTCCTGACGCTGCACACTTCCCTGCTCTGCGTGCTCCGTCCCCGTCCCTGCACACCCGTCCCTGGCCCGGACGACCACAGCAGCGCCTACTATGTGCTCAGTGTCCTGGGCCCTCTGGGACCTTACCCCAGGCAGTAGTCATGCCCTGTGATCACCAAGTGCTGAGAAAGAGACTAATGCTAGGGGCAGGGAAGAGAAGGACAAATGCCACCTCCTCCAACCCATCCTTTAGACTTCAGCTCAAAACTCACTTCCTCCGAGAAGCCTTTCCTCTTCCTCCAGACAAGGCCGGGGCCCCCGGTTACCTGCTCCCATCACACCCTGTCCTCTTTCTTTCCAGCACTTGCCAGAATTTACAATTAGATGTTATCTTGTTTAGACATTATCTCATGTGACTGAAGCACTACTGAGGAGGGTGGGGTGGAACTCCCACTGTGCCTCCAGGGGGAGCCTGAGGAAGTGATGGCGGGGGAGGGTCACCCACACAGTTACCCAGAGATACAAGTATCATTAATTGCATTTCACAGAGGAGCAGACTGTGGCTGAGAGCCAGAGCGGCTATCTTAGTCATCTGAGGCTGCGTAACAAATCACCCCAAAACTTTGCTGGAAATCATGATCCTCTATTACCTCCTTATTATTCCTGGGGTCGGGCATCTGGACAGGGCTGGGCAGGCATCTGGCTCTGGGTCTGTCCACGAGGCTTCAGTCCAGCTGTCGGCCAGGCCTGTGGTTTCATCTGAAGGCTCCCCCAGAGGACAGTCAGCTTCCAAGCTCACGCACTTGGCCGTTGGCCTGGGGCTGTGGGTCCTGTTTAACCTGAGAAGTGAGCAGAGAAATGGGGTAACCTAGCCTTATAAAATTATTTCTCTTCCAGATTGCCTTGTCTCACACTTGGAAAGCCTGAGCAGCCTGTGGGCCAGGCATCCTGGAGCCCTCTCTGAGGGTTTGAGAAAGACCACAGTCCTTTCGATTTCTTCCCTGCAGTAAAGTTAACTTGCACTGTGTGTCCCCTCGCCCTGGGCTGGTGGAAAATTAAATCTCAAACGGTTCGGGGGCCTCCCTCCCCATCCTCCCCCAACCCTTTTGGGGTTGTGTGGTCCTGGGCAACAGGTTTAGCAGAGATGTCCCCATGAGAATGGAGGCTGAGTGAGGGCAGCGGGTTTCGTCCGTTTTGTGCGCTGATGTGCGTAGTCCAAGCCGCTCACGCGTCTGCCCGTCAGACGAGCAGTCAGTCTTTGCTGAGTGTTGAATGGATGGCCTTTGGTCCTGTTGCTGTACCCCCTGACCTAATAGACACAGTGCCTTGAAGGGAGGGACGGAAGCGATCTTCGCCAGCCAGGTCCAGATCCCGTGTTCCCTTGGGCGGTACCAGCAGGGGATGCGAGACTGAGGCACGCCCCTGTTCTGGGACACCTGCTTCTACCCTTTCCCCCATTCCAGCTTGTTCTCCCTGTTCAGCCAGACCTGCCTCCCCATTCTCAAATTTCCCAACTTCCATTGGTTTTCCTGGAAATATCTTTTCGAAAAATAAAAGGCTCTTCCTCCACCCTGACCCCCAGGGGTTGGGGGGTGAGGCGGGGGTGGGAGCCAGGGCAGCCCACTGCCTCCAGGGCTGACCCGCAGCTCCCAGGGGGCCAGTGTGGGAGGCAGGGGTGGGGCACCTCCAGCCCTGATTCTTCCTGATCTTCCCCAGCAGGGAAACAACACACAGGTTTGTATCTCAACCAGCTTTCCAGCTCAGAGTTGCAGGCTCTGCATGAGGGGGGCGGGCGGTGCAGCCTGGAGGACGGCATCTACGCCTGCAGAGAGGTGAAGCACTTTACGGCCTAGGGTCCTGGTCTTCCTGCAGAGTGTTCTCACCTTGCCCCCTTTGGGCTTAGTCACACAAGGATAAACAAGACTCAGGCAAAGCCCACATATATTGGGCACTTACTGGATACCAAGCACAGGGTCAAGAGCTTTTCAGGGCCATCTCATTTAGTCTTCGCAACTGACCTTTGAGATAGGTACAAACAGCCCCCTTTACAGACAGGGAAACTGAGGGGCAGGGAGGTGTGGCTCGCCCAAGAGCTACTGCATGGAAATCACAACACGAATATTCTTGATGCCACTGCCCACACCTGTAATTATCACGTCCTACTGCCCCCGCCACGTCACAGCCACGAGGGATCCGTACCATCGAAGGACAGGGACAGTGTGGAGGAAATTCAGAGGAATTCATGCCCAGCCCAGCAGTCTGGGAGAGCTTCACTCGGAGCCTGGGAAACAGGCATCTGGGAGGAGCAATGGCTGAGAGGTGGGGAAACCCCGGGGAAGGTTCTGGGCACTTGAAGCCATCCTCTCAAGTTCATGTGTTGAGGAAGCGGAGAAGTAAGGGAGGAAGGGGATGAGAAAGGTGTGCTGGAGCCACACTCTATGTAACTACACGGGGCCAGGCTGGGAGCACTCTTGGGGCCTGGCCAGCCTGCAAAAGGTCAAACTGTGAGTCATGTGGGCCACAGAGCCTAACCCCAAACATTGGGGGTGTCCAGCACCCATGTGCCCAGCTCCTTTTGCTGGAGGTCGAGACCCTGTTCTCCAAACCTGTGGCCTGGTAGCAGCCATCTCCTAAGCCCTCCGCCAGGACAGCCCAGCCGGCCACCAGGTCAAAGCAGTGCAGGAAGAGGAGAGCCCATTCTGGACAGATTATGTTTATTTACACCCAGCCATGGGGCAGGCCCTGACAGGACTGTTCACAGTTTCAACTCAGACCCAGCCTGAAAACCAGCTGGACTCTTTTTCTCTTCCAAGCAGCCCTGAGAGAGCTCAGGAAGAAGCCCGATTCGTTAGGACCAAAGAGTTGACAGTTTTCCCTGCTCATTCCAGCTGCAGTTAAGGAAAGGGTCCATTACACATATACTGAGATTCTGGGTAAGATTTTTTTGTTTCAAAGGCTCACTTACTAAAAATATTTTTTAAGTATCTTTTTTTTTTTTTTAATTGCTCAGCTTGTCCAACTCTCTCCATAAGTGAGAAATCAGAGGCCCAGAGAGGGCCTGGAAGTCACCTGAGGCCACACAGCAACGAGTGGCCGAGTCTAGAGCCCGTCTGGGGCCCAGCGTTCCTTGTGAACTCCAGCCCAGTCCTCCTTTCAAACGCGGATGCCAGCTTGGTTTGGAGCTGCATGGCCTGGGGAGAGGGGAGGAAAGTGGGCCAAGAATTCAGGGCTTACTATGGCTCAGCACAAGTGCTCCTAGAAGCCTCAGCTCACGCAGGGTCCTCCTCCTTGAGGCCCTAAATGCCTCAGATGTGAGCTTGATCAGGGCTAAGCCTGAGACAGGAACCTAGACCCTACCCCACAGGCCCTTCCCTCCCTTCCTCAGCAAAGACTCCTCACCTGCTCCCCATGGCCACACACCTGGCTCAAGCATTCCTCCACTGAGTGAAGTCTAGCACAGCTTGGAGTGAGCACTGGACAAGGAGTCAAAAGACTGGGGATCGAGCCTGGCTGGGCCACTTTGTAGCTGAGCAGCACTGGGCTGCATCTCTTACCCCTCTCACTCCCTTGGTTATCAAAAACAAAGAGCAGAACTCTCCAAAAGCAAACAGGGGTGTGGTAGTACACGTCCCCATGGTCACATGCACGGTTCCTCAGCAGAATGAATGCAAAACCAGCTCCAGAGTCAGGCTGCCTGGGATTGAATCCCACTGCGTGCTGGGCAAATTTGGGCAAGTACCTTAATGTGCCCGTACCTCAGTTTCGCCATCCGTAAAATAGGGTTAATAGGGATGATAATAATAGGACCTATCCCCATAAATTAGTTGTGAGAGCATTAAGTAGGATAATATAGGTTGAGAGTTGAGGACAGTGCTCAGTACACAGTGAATGCTCAATAAAAATTAGTCTTTGTTGTTCTTGCTCCTTGAGCCACGATTAAACCCCAAATTCCCCACCTAGTAAATGATATGCACTTGGAAGACACAGATGTTTGTCCAAGAGTCAAGCCTGGTACCTGGGGCAGGACAGTGAGTGTGGGAATGGGCAATTGCTTAATACACGTACCTGGAAGTATTATCACCTGTAAAATGGGCACATGCAATGCCCTGGAGCCCCCTTCCCCAGAAACCTCTCCCTCCCCCACCCAAAGCATCTCCTCCAGGGGTGGAGGGCTGGTGAATGAATCTTTGAATGATACATATTCCTGTGTTTGATGTTCAGTAATAATGAGCTTGTATGCAGGCTGAGTCACCAAAACTGATTCACGTCTGTGCCAAACATATATAGCCATACAATTCCAGAGGCACGGCATCAACGATCCTGGAAATTCATTCATTCAACAACCATTAATTGGGTGCCTGGTAACGTACTGATTCATGAGTTGGAAGTGGGTAAAACATTATTTAGAAGCTACACAAGGGCAGGCAGGTAACTTAATGTTATTGGGCACGTGTTCCCTAAGCACCTCTCCTCTGATCTTGAACAAACTATACTTACGTGGCCTTGTTTAGGAATTAATGAGAGCCAACTAATCTTTCAGAAGACCTCAATTTGCAGTTTTGGTCAAAAGCCCATCAGCCTTTACAAATGAAGACCTGTCTTTCTGGGTTGGGCTAACTCCTTTGCTAGTTAAAAGCTTTCTGTGTCTTTAAAAGGGGGCGGCACCCTGTCAAATGAACCCTAAAGCATAGGCTGAAGGCGCGTGAAGTCCCACCCACTTTCTGTGACGTCCTGTGCTCCGGCTCCTGATTGCCCGCCTCAGACGTCAATCGCGGGGCGTGTGTCTTGCTGGGACACAGTGGAGGTCTAGCTTGTGGTTTGCGGAGCGGTCGGGTGTATTCTCCGCTCGCCCCCACGCCCTCGAGGCTCCCGCCGCCCGACCCAACGGCGGACCCAGCCAGTGGCTTCCGCGGCGCCCTCCCGCACCGGATCGCTCCTCGCTGGAGCGAGACCTGGCCCGACGGCTCCGGTCACTATGGTCAGTGGTCGTGGGGGGAAGCGGGGGAGGAGGAGCTGGAAGGGGGCGCGGTAGGCGGGCTCGCCGCCGGGGCGCATGTGCGCTCGCGGGACGGGGGACGAGCGTCCGGCTCAGTCCCCAGCGCGGGTCCCGCGGCGTTCGGACCCCTGGGAATAGTGAGTCGGGACGGATGCTGGGGGCCCCGTCCTTCCTGGGAAGGCCCTGCAAGGCCCCGCCGTCCCCCGTGGACGCCCAGCGAAGGGGACCCAGCCCGGCCTCTAGGACCCCGGCCCCTGGCGCTCTCGTCCCCGGTGTCCCCGAGGGTGCCGCCGCGACGGCGCAAGGTAGGCGCCCTCGACGGGAACGGGAACTGGGAGGCTCCAGGGCTAAGGGTCGCCCTCTTTGTTAAGTAGCCCCCCGACCCCTCAGTGGGCAGCTCAGGGCGCCACCCACACAGGGGCTCGGGCATTGGAGATCTTCCCCTCCAAGCCCCACAAGTGACCTAGGAGGTGCAGGAGTGGCCGGTCGCGGGACATCCTCTCCATCCCGCAGATGAACAGACGGTGTGTGCATTAGGACACACATGGAGAGGCTGCCTCAAGTTATGAGGCAGGTGAATTAGGGATCCAGGCAAAGCGAAGACTAGAGGAACCCCTGATTCAGAGCGGAAATGGCCCCAGAGACACTCTGAGGCAGGCCAAACCTGGAACTTGGGTAGGTGGGGAAACTGAGGCCCAGGTAAGGAAGGGGCTGGGAGTGATTGTGGTGGACCTGGGACTTGACTCCCAGTCCAGTGCTCCTTGGGTTACATCAGTCCATTTTCCAGGTTGTGGGGGGAGGGGTCAGGCACTCTGCAAGGACTGGGTGTAACGACTGTGTAAAACCCTTTAATCCTCAGCCCCCTGCTCTAGGGAGCCTGTAGAGTGTAAGGGCTGGTGGCCCTTATGGTGGCTTGGGGTCACACAGCTCCGAATTCAGATGCCACCTCCACCCCTTGGAAACCAAGAGGCTTTGGTTGGTCTTCCCCCCACTCCGCCCCCACCCCCAGCACTATTTTGTGCATCTGCTCAACAGACGCTGCGAGGACCGGGTGAGGTGATGCCCGCGGGGCGCTTGGCCCAGGTAACTAGCTGTGGTTGTTCCTGTGATAACAGAGTCCTGGAAGTGGGTGGACACAGGTGTCTGGTTCTTCTTGGCCTCCTCCCTCCCATGTCTGCTCGGGGAGATGGTCACCTCTTCAGGATGCTGCTGGGCTGGGGCATGGGTCAAAGCATGGTCATGGCCTGGTACATTCTGAGTGTGGTTTGGGCAGCAGGTCATCCAAGTCGGGGGACCATCCTGGACAAAGCAGCCTGCTGCCGGGGCATCTAGAAGCATCAGCTTCCTGCTTCTACCCAGTGCCCAAGCGTTTCCCCGGCTCGGCTGCTCCTGGAAGGGGGCCCAGGCGTTTCTGCATCTGTCACCCACCAGGGAGTGGCAGGGCCTGGGGTAATAATGGCTTTAGCCACCCCGGAGCTGGAGCCTGGCATGCCTTCTGGCCACGACCGGGAAGCTGAGAGGAGGGCAGGGACGGTGGGGGGGTGAGGACCTGAACTTTTTGTCTTTGTGCTACACAGCGAGGCCTCTGACTCCACCTTCCCCACTGCCCTGGACTCTCAAGACCGGAAGTTAGAGGGCAGATGGGGTGAGAAGCACCAAGCCCTCACCCTGTCAGGGAAGGCTTGGGGGCCTTGGAGAGGGGTGGTTAATCCACCCAATAGGATGTCTGCCTGGGAATCACAGGGTGGGAGAGGGCTGTGCAGTGTCTGTGTTCCTTTTTGTTTACCCGGCATTTATTGAGCACCTACTGTTAGCCACGCACCATGCTATGCAGGCTCTGGGGTGATTGTTGTTTCTTCGTGGTGTGAATGGTGCTGTCTGTGCGGGGGCTGTAGGGGAGAGGAAAGTCCTTGGGAAATACAGCATCTTCTTTCCTCTCCCACTTCAAAGTCACTGGGCTAGGCTGGAGGGAGGGTCCCATGTAGGAGACACAAGGCCCCTTAGGAAGGCAGGGGTGGGGATGAGGTCCGGGCCTGGGGCGGCCACTGGCTGGGGCTGTTAAGTCATAAGTGCGCACTGAAAATGCATCAATGAGCGTGCGAGGTGAACAGTAAAACCACAGGGCCCTTCAGGGCTTTACTCTTTTATTTATCAAACAAGCCCCCAGGAGGCAGGCACCCTAGTCATGCCCCATGATGGGCAGTGATGAGAAAGATGAGGGGCGTGACCTCTCTTAGGAGCTCACTGCCTGTTGGTCAAGACAGAGCTAGACACAAGCAATTCCTGAGCTCCTGATCATGGCCCCAGAGGCCTGACTGAGGGCTTTAGGAACACAGCAGAAAGCTGGTACACTCTGAGGGTGCAGGGAGTATCAGGGAAGGCTTCACAAGGGAGTCTTTTGAATGGGGTTTTGAAGCATACATAGGAGTATTCAGGAAGGATTTGAGGAATAGTACATTCCAGGCAGGGTAGGACAGTGTGCTTAAAGGCCTGGAAACATGGTTAAGATTGGGATATTCTGGGAAAGGTCTGTGTGGATGCATGGGGCTCAGAGGAGGGAGGGGAGATGAGTCAGGAAAGTAGGAAGGGTCAGGATGTGCTAAGAAGGGCCTCACATGCTGTGCTGTGCGCTTTGAGTTTTATTCTGCCGATGGGGAGGGAGCGAGAACCGTAACATACTTCGGGCAAGTACGAGGTGGTTGACTTGGATGAGCTCTCTGGCAGTGGGGTGGACACAGGGTTGGAGGTGGCCAGGCTGGGTGAGACCCACTCATGCATTTGTTCACCCGGCCACTCCGTGCGCATTTTTGGAGCATGACTGCGTGCCAAGCACTGGGGGATCTGGTCTTGACAGGTGCGCAAAATCCCTGCCCTCGTGTTGTTGACATTCTAGTGGAGGGACAGACAGATTGCAAGGAAATGAGTGAACCTACGTGGCAGCCAATGCGCTGAAGAAATAAAGCAAGTCAAGGCGGTGGGGGGTGGGGGAGGGGCGACTTTACACAAGGCGCTCAGGGAGGACCTGTCTGAGGAGGTGATACCACTTGAGTCTGAAGAAGAGGCGCATCCTAGGCAGCAGGAATAGCATGTGCAAAGGCCCTGAGGTAGAAATGGGCATGTCTTGTTGGAAGAACTCAAAGAGATTCATTAAGGCTGGAGCCCTGGGAGCAGAAGGTAGGCAAGGCCGGATGTTGTAGGACCTGGCAGGGTTGTCATCAAAAGTCTTTTCCTATGGTGAGGGGAGCCCCGGGAGGGAACTGAGGAAAGTTGTGCCCTCCTCTGGCTCACAGGGGCAGCAGCCTTTGGTGGCTGCTGTGGAGGATTGTGGGGAAGAGGGGCAGGAGCGGAAGCTGGAGGTCAGTTGGGCCGATGCTGTTGCAGCCTCCTTGAGGTGGCAACTCCGGCCTGACCCAGGAGCAGAGCCGATGGGGAAGAGAGGTGTGCAAGCGGGGTCCTAGGTTTGGCCTGAGCTCCGGCTGGATGGAGGGGCCTTTCAGGGGGCCGAGACGCCTGGAGAGGAGGCAGGGGTGGAGCAAGAGAGCAGTTGGGGCACGGTAGCTGGGGGATGCTGGTCAGACATCTTTGTGGCTGCTGGCTGTTTGAGGCCAGAGCTTCAGTGAGAGGTCAGGGCCAGAAATGAAAATCGGAGGGTACTTCAGGAGATGTGTGAGTCCAGGCATCAAATGAGAGAGTGGTTGGGGTCTGAGTTCACGGTCTCTGCAAGGCTAGCCAATAATTGTGACCCAAGAGGGGTGGGAGCCCAGATGCAGGGTCTTCCCTGTTTCCTTAGCTGAACAGCACAGAAGGGGCCTATGGGGCCCCCCGAGGATGTCCACACCTAATCCCCAGAACCTGTGAATAAGGTCCCTCACATGGCAACAAGGGCCTCACAGGTGTGGTGAAGTTAGGGGTATTGAGGTGGGAGAGGGCCCTGGATCACCCAGGCGGGCCCAATGATGTAATCACAAAGGTCCTTATCACAGGGGTGGGGCAGAGGTGGAGGGGGTTCAAGTGAGGAGTTGGGACAGTGGAAGGAGGGGGATCATGAACCAAGGAACGCAGGTAGCTTCTAGAAAGTGAAAAAGGTAAGGAAATGGGTTTTCCTCTGGAGCCCCCAGAAATGCAAAGTAACAAACGAGTGTTGTTTTTAAGTCACCGAGTTTGTGCTAACGTGTGTTAGCCACAACAGGAAAGTGGTTCAGGGCACTAGGTCTTCCCTAGATCTTTTGCCTCCAAACATCGTGATCACTCATCAGTTAAAAAATTGATCATTCTATGCATTCATGTATTATACATCCCGTCCTAAAGTAGACAATTCAAAGGGTGTTTCCTTCCAGCTCCAGTGGCAGCCCACTGTGGAGACCCCAGCCCCAGGCAGCAAGACCAGGGCTGGGGCCCCAGGGAGCCGAGACCCCTGGAGAGGAGGCAGGGGTGGGAAGTGACAGGGACCTTCTGAGAGGAGAGGGGAGGCTGGCCACGTTCGGAGCCCTGTCCGGGTGACCCCTGGAAGCTCTAGCCTCTACTCTGAAGGAGCCGGTAGCTTGAGGTCAGGCCACGCGGTGAGTCGTGGCTTCTGGGGCACGGGGCCTGGTTAACGAGGCTGACTCAGCCTGTGGTCAGCAGTGCCCGTGGAGCAGCCTCAGAGGGAGGTCGGGCTGGCCGCGGGCTGGCCTTGCCTGCTGGGGCCCAGGGTGGGCCTGTGAGAGGCCCACCAGCACCTCAGAGCCTGGGTTCAGGGATGTGCACAGACGCAGTAAAGGGTACGTTGAGGGGGGCTCTGTAGGCAGAGGTGTGAGCCCGAGGCCTGACTGTTGAGGAGCCGCAGGAAGTGACAAGAGGACACAGGTGAGGGCCAGATGGGTTCTGTTCCTGGAAGATGAGAAGGTGCAGGAAGGCACCCAGGTCTGTTGAATACATTTTTTTTTTTTTAAGTATGCGCCAAGCCCAGCATGGAGCCCAATGTGGGGCTTGAACTCAGGACC